AATATAATGTGTCTCAGCAACTACCCTATATTACAACTCACACAATAGCTACCCCTCTTTAATACTACCGTTGATTTTCCTTTATACTGAAAGAAAAAGAAAATTAAATACTCAGATATTTTTCTTTCTAATTTTCTAATTACTTCAAATTCTTTCTATTTTTTAACCAAAGTTATGCCTGCTTTTTAAACACTTAGGGGGCGTTTGGATGGAGGTATTTAAGATTCTCGGTAAGAATATTTTTTTTCTTAACAAAATATACCCATATTTGATTGAGTATCATTTCTCAAATCAAGATAATATTTGTTTTCCATCAATGAATATTCCTGGGAATATTATTCCCTCACACCCGTTAGGTATTCTTTCATTCCGTGTATTAAGGGCTAAAATACCCTTGTTTTTCCGTTTCTATCGCGATGTCTTTGTATGTCTCTCTGTCATTTTCGTGATCGTTTATCATCCATTTTCGTGTGTTAAGGCCTATGCAGTCATCATCCCAAGCGAAGCATCACGCCGTTGTCGCCTGTTTGTAGACACCAACATGTATGTCTCTCTTCTCCTGGTAAGATTTATTCCCCTCTCCCTTTCTTCTCCTCTCACTTTCTTTACAATGTTTTACTTGTTTAATTTTTCCAGAAAAATTAATGTAGTCGATTTAAGTTAACCTTGAGCGATAGTTTCCTTATAGTTGTTGTTTTGCTTGGATCCATTCTACCATTTTTTTCATAATCTTGTGCAGTATTTGAGTTTTAATGGAAGATTGAATAGTCTTAAAGAGGGGTTGTAAACTGTAAAGTAAAAGCAAGGATATTTGATAGGGTCCAGTTATATTCATAGTTGAATCAATTAGGGTTCTTCAAAAAAAAAAATTAACGCTGAGTTCTTTTCCTTGGTTTTATAATCCAAAATATTTTCCACTCCGTATATCAATTTAATGGCTGTATCGTCCTTCGATTCACTTCTGTTGTCGTCTTTGTTGTTCTGTTTGGATTATTGTTCAGTTTTTCGTTTCGTCGATAATGGGTTAATTTCAAAGCTATCTCATTCTTAGATTTTTAGTAGACCTTGTAGTTTCTAACATATTACAACCGAAGGCGGAGAAGTAATCACCGATATGGGTAAACGTAGGATTTTTTGTTCCGAAATTCTTTCTTTGCGTAATTTTTGCTAATTAATTTGATTAACGTTTTGCTTTTACCTTCTTTTCTTATATAGTTTATGGGTTATTATCTCTCCAAATTGATATTAATAGTTGCGTTTGAAGAATAAGAATTTTCTATCATTTGTTTTGGGGTGTGTTGGCGTTTATTTTATTTATATTTCGTTTAGGGTTTTTTAGCTAAATAAAAGGAATATATGAATTTTGCAGGTAAAAATCAGCGTAAGAATAAGATGATGCTAGATAGTGACGATGATAGTAGTAGTGTAAGTTCATCGTCTACCATGCAATCGGATCAATTCTCAGTTTCTGGAACTGAAGAACTCGAATTTAAAAGGATAGTTTACTTGATGAAGCTGTGGATACTTTGTACGAAAAGAGGTCTGATATTGTTATTTTTTTGCTATATCAGCTTACTTATGTTTTGGATGAAAATTTGATGAAGAATTGTTTACATTTTTTAGGGAAGAATTGTTTGGTTAGATGAAATTAGTTACGTAGCCATATTTTAGAGATTTCTCAAATTTTTTAGAATTATTATAGTTTTGAGTTGGATTTGACTCAATTAGTGTTTTTCACCTTTGTTGATGAAGGGGTTCTACGCTTGAGAAGGCAATGGCCTCGATTATTGAGGCTTTCAACAGCGACTTGCAGCATCAGTTCGTGGAGAAGAAGTGAGTTGCTCTTTTTCCAAGTGTTTCTTAATCTTGGTTTCGATTTATTTTATTGCAAGGATTGCCCAATGTATTAGGACCATGGTTCTATGAGATTTCATGTAGTTTTGATTGGTTGGCGAGAATTCATGAATTGGTTAAAACATTGGCGCCCGAAGAATTAGAACTATCTCTCATTTAGTGGGATTCATTTGTTAATCAGACTTCAGATTCAATACGTTACATTAGATTGTGATTTTCTATTGCCGAGCAAATTTGCAGTTGTGGTTGCAAATGTTTCTTTTGATTTAAAATGTGGTTTGAGTACTTGAATCTATGTGCCTCTAATGGTCATGTTATCTTTTTCCGTTGTTCAGATTTGCTACATTACTGCAGCAGTGTCTGAATTCTATCAAAAAGGGCTCCAACAAAGAGATATCTTTAGCTTCCCATGTTATTGGTTACTTTTGAAAGCTTTTGCAGATTCTAATGCATAATGCATGGAAGAGACCACACGAATTAAGTATTCAATCTGATAAATTTCTTTTTGTAGGTTTGCTGGCTTTAACTGTTGGTCCTGGAGATAATGCACGGGAAATATTGGAGGAGTCGATAATGCCTATTTCACAGGCTTCTAAATCTGGTTCTGAATCTTCTAAGATAGCTTCGGTATGCAAGAAGTTCAATTGAGATTTGTTCTACTTCTAGTATTTTGTTGGTACTACAATGCTTAACCAGTTTCTTTTTACCTGATTTCCTGTTATAGTTACTGGAGTGCTTGGCTATTATCACTTTTGTTGGGGGGATCGATCCAGAGGAAACAAAAAAATCAATGCAAATTATGCGGCAATCTGTTCATCCTAAGTTAGGTTCTAATGTAAGTATCCTGATTTTCATTAATTGAAAAACATCGAATAGTGTATTGAGGTTCACTGCATCAGTTATTGTTTTAAATTGTTCTTTTTCTAGTGGGGTGTAGTCTTAAATTCTCTTCATATATATCATGGTTATAAATGTACTTTTGAGTTTAAATATCAGAATAGTAGGTTAAAAAACCTTGTGAGACTTCAATGTTTCCCCAGTATAATGGGATGAGACTGATCAATCTTGGAAAAATATGCAGATCCATAGCATATTTGTCTACTTTGCTAGATAAGGATGACCGATCTTTCCGCATTGCTGCTGGAGAAGCACTGGCAGTAATTTTTGAGATGGGAAGCTTAGAGAAGTTTGTTGCTGAAGCTAAAGGTTCAAATATTGGCTCAATATCTGAAGGAAATAAATCTAAAGAAGGATTCTTACAGATACAAGGACTGAGGGGGGAAATTCTGAATCAAGTCAGAGACCTCTCTGTGGAAGCTGGTGGTAAAGGTTCTGCCAAGAAAGATCTTAATAACCAGAGGAATTTGTTTAAAGATGTTTTGGAGTTCCTCGAGGTACTAATATTGTTGTCTTTCATGTTCATGACTTGCAATTCTAGGACATCTCATGTTAACTTTTATCATCTTGGTGATGTTAGGATGGTTATTGCCCGGAGACATCAATGAAGATTGGCGGGGATTCATTGCAGACATCAACATGGTCTCAGTTGATTCAGGTTCCTCTTCTTCCTCTTCCTGTTCTTTGGTTTCTTACATTAGTTATATGCCATGAATTCTTATTATATAAAACTTCAATGCTACAGCTGAACTTTTGAGGCACTTTCTTGGTGGAGGTTTCACTAAACACATGCAGGTCGGTCTTCTTTTAGTGAAGTTGATGCTTCTTGGTGCAGTTTGCTTGTATTCTATTTTCCGGTTGATTAAGCTCGACATATTTTGTTTTACTGTGTGCAGGAAAACGAGTTCTTTCGAGTTGTTTTTGGTTTTACTCCGAAAAGGAGGAATCTTCTAGGCAGTGCACATATATCCAACGATCAAAAGGTCGGTTAGCTTGACCAGAATATTTAATTAACGATGTTAAGTGTTTTGTCTTTGAATGCTTTCTATGATATTCTGATTATAGGTATAAGATATTGGTCTATAATTCATTAGGCCATCACTGAGGCATGAACCGCTATATAGTTTTGACACAATATTTATATTCTAGGTTGACGTATGTGACTAGACTTTCTCGGACATGCGAAATTGATATAGATTTATTGGGATTGTGTGGTACAGAGAATGTTGAAATCACCAAATTCAGTTATCAGCAAAGCAAGAACCCAGATCTTGAACAAGCAGCGGATGCAATCTAAGGTAGGTTTTTTCTGTGTTTGATGGGGGACATGGATGTAGTGTTTCCCAAACAAAGTTCCTGGTTAATGTTTTTGTTTTTTTCTTGATGTATTCAGGATAGGAACTTTGGGCACTTTGCTGTAAATGCTGGTGAAGACGACGCATAATCTTCTATATGACAGTGATTTATTGAGATTCAAAACTGATAATGTTAAATTTTTTATTTTATATTATATAGTTTCATTATTGTGTAACGTTGATTGGTTTGTACAAGGCACCAATGAGAAATTTGGATCGGAATTGACATATAATGAATAAGCAGTTAATCCGCATGATCACTTCTGTAATGATCTAATGATGTATCTATTGAGTTGTGTTTACATAATATTACTAGGATCGTGTTATAAATTTATAGATAAAGTATGCAGAATTAAGTATAAATATAAAAGATAAATAAATAAATTATTGTACATATAAAATATAATAAATATTATATCTTAGATAACAAAAATAATTTACAACTTTTTATTATTATGAATGTCTATGATAAATTATTGTATATAGAAGAATGTTGAATGTTGATGTAAAATTTTAATATATTTTTACATAAATTATGTAAAATTTAATATTAATTAAAATTAAAATAATACATGATATATTTAAATACTCAAGTAATATATTATCAACAAATATAATTTTTATTTAAATATTTAGAATTTCACTTGTTAAAAAAATATAGAACAAGAATAATTTGGTAAAATATACGTTTCAGTAATCTTTTATTCCTTTAACCAAACACTATAATTTTACATTCTTGCCAAACCAACCAAACACAGTAATATAACATTCCCAGTAATTCTATTTCCTGATAATCTTTTATTCCCACTGATAATCTTACATTCCATGAACCAAACGCACGCCTAAAGCAATCTGATAAGAAAAAATTCAGATTTCATTAGATTCAAATTTATTAAATTATTATGTTTTTTCTGTCTGAAAAAAGTTCTCTCCTTTCTTATTTGTTGCTCTCTTTTGGTGATCCTTAAGCTTAAAATCTCCAATTTAAAGCTGTAAAGAGATCAAGGAGGAGATATCAAGTAGAACTCGAGCTTTAGTCAGTTGAAGCTCTAGTTTTTTTGTTATCAAAATTTGTTCTTTTACAGTTTCTTTTTGTTAATTTGTGAGAGAGGGAAGACAAAATGAACAATGTTCATGAAGAAGCCATCAAAAAAATTCTGTCTTTGATGGAAAATGGTGAGATTTAGGTGTAAAAAGATTGATTTTTTAATCTTATCTTTCTGCGGTTTCTCTCGTTGTGATCTGCAAATCACTAACTACCTTTTTTGTTTGCCAATTTTCCTTTTGGAAAATTTAACAGTTGACGAGAAAATGAAGGGCACATTCCAGGTTAGATTTTTTTTTTTTGGATTTTCTTTTTATATATTTTGGATGCCGAGACAAGGGGCCGCTGATAAGAAATAGGAGCCAATATGTATTTCCGGTAATAATTTGCTTAGTTGTTTAAGCTGATTTCAGCTGTGGACTTGATCTGATTGCTTGCTTTTTTCTGCAATTTCATGGTTAAGAGTTTTGTGTTCTTTGTTGGTTCTGATCTATCTCAGTTAACTGTTTTTCTGTTCTGTGAATTTCTAGTTGATTCCATTTGGAGAGTTGTTTGCTCTTACTGTTTACTATTCTATGGTCGATGTTACTCGGACTCTTCGTATTTCTTGGATCTTCTTAATACATGAAACATACTTAGAAAAATGAGTATACATGTGTCAGATATGTACCCTAATTCGAAACTCCCATCTAAGCCCGAGCGGTGAGTATCATAGTTGTGTAAATTGGAAAACGCTTAGTTGCCAGTTGCTAATTTTAGAAAAGTTTGGTAGTTATCATTCAGCTGTGAGGTGGTATTATCGAATTGTAAGATCATCCGAAATTTTATGAGTGCCACAATGATCTAGAGCTATATGCGTCAGTATAGATAAATAAAATGCCGATGATAAGGTTTCCCTTCCAATTAACCCTTTTTCTTATATATATTTGAGGTGTTACGAAGAAATTTTGCTTGTATCAACCTGTTTTTATGGAATTGTGTGGATCAAATGGATGAATACAGCGTTTTAAACCTGTGTTTTATACTATGGTCTGCCGAAGTTAAGTGTAAAGTTGAATTCCTTGGTCTGCAGAACATGCACCATGGGTATCTAACTGAAACTCTAGTGAGATTTTTTAAAGCAAGAGATTGGGATGTTCAGAAAGCCTATAAAATGATGAGTTCCTCAGGTTCCCTTAAGCAATAATAAAATGTTGCGTACGAAAGATCTCTTCATTTTTGTCCTCATTCCCCGATTCTCGTTTATTAACTCCTAAATTTTGTGTATTCCAGTTAACTGATTGCTTACAATGGAGAATACAGAATGATATTGACAATATATTATCAGTGAGTTTTTCTGATTATATACTAATCAATTACTATTATTTTATCAGTTTATGATACTGCAAAACTATACTGCTGAAACAGTACGATTTATTGTGGAAATTGGTGATGCCTAAGATAATTCTTTATATATATATATATATATATAGAAACCAATTATTCCAGCTGACTTATATAGAGCAGTGCGAGATTCTCAGCTTGTAGGATTGTCATGTTACTCAAAAGAGGTATTTACTTGTGGGATTGTCGGGTTTGATTGCCCTGCTAGTAGATTTGATGCCTCAAATTTATTTGGCAACATTATGTTACATTCGAAAGTAGTTCCATGATGATTAACTCATGCTCTTGATATTTCCAGGGTCTTCCTGTCATTGCTCTCGGTGTTGGGCTTAGCACATATGACAAAGCATCCGTAAGGACTAAGGAGATCGGAACATGTTCCAACTTAAAATTTGCATTTAAGACTGTACAACCTGGGAATAAGAGCTTTTAATCGAGCTTGCTTAAAGCTGTTTTGAAAGAAATCATCCGAAGCTTGCTATTGAGCTTTTAATTAACAATATGATTCTTTACAACATTACTTTGGTATAGCCTATTAGGATAATGAAAGTTATATTTGTTTTTGAAACGTACTCAGAAATTCAACCGGGCATACGATGATCCGCACTCGTTTTCCTTCTTATGGATTTCTTCCATTAAGGTCCTGTTTGGCTCAGGGTATATTTATTTCCTGGGAGGAATATTGTTTTCCTGGATGAATATACCCATGTTTGGATAGGTTGTATTACCAAGTGTAAGGAAAAAATTAATACCAACAGGAATTTTTTTTACTGCATTCCCGGGAATGTCTATCCCTCCTCTCCCTTGGGTATTTACTCATTCCCGTCCCCGTTGTCTAAAATAGCCTTCTCCCCTCCCCTTCGTTCTGTTGAAATCTTCCTCTTCTTCTTCGATTTAGCTTAGATATTTGCTTCTGGCGTTCATATTTCAGTTTTTACATACTTATTGGTTATGAAAGAACACAAAAAAAGAACCGTGCACCGCTTATCCTTCACTTCTGTGCTTCTTGGTGTGAGGCTTCAAAACAAATGGACAAAGTCTTTTCCCATCTCTCCATTGATTTTCTAAACGCTCACTTCTATAGGGTTCCTCTTTGAATTTCCTCGTCAAAGCAAATGGACAAAGTCTTCGGGCTTCGTGATCGAGTTTTGGTTTTTGGTCGAAATTCCGTTATACCCATGGGAGTGTTCCGAAGAGGAACTCGTCGAGCTCTGTAAACCCTTTGGGAAGATCATTAACACTAAGTGCAATGTCGGCGCCAATCGGAATCAAGCTTTTGTTGAATTTGTAAGCTTCTAAATCTTTCCATTTTTTTTTGAAGTTCTTTGTTTATAGTTTATGGATTGCTTTGTGTCAGCGAAAAATAATGTTCAATTTGTGTTACGTAAGGGCAATCAATTGTTGATTGTCTACTCTTTTGGGAATTTGATTTTCTAGTGTAAATTTCAGTGTGTTCCTTCAATTTGTCGAAGTATGAGTTCTTTTTGCGAGATTTGTTTTCTTTGCATACGTTTATTTTTTAGCTGATTTTTTAATGTTTTGATGTGTAAATTTAATGGTTAATTGCAGATTTGCAAAGTGTTATTATTACTTTTTAATTTGGTGGTGAATTGGGATGGGGGAACTTATGCTTTTCACATTTGAAAGTGTAAAAGAAATGTTATTATGTAACCCGAGTTAGAGCAGTTTTGATAGCAGTTGTGTGTGAGTTTATTCTTATTTAAAATCAGATACATATACAACCTTGTAATCATATTAGAATCTTCAAGAAAAGAATGTGTAAACATTGATGTGTTACTTCACCGCCAATCGGGTTGGATTTTGAATTTTCTTGGATGATGGTTTATTTTGATTTGTCTGGGGTTAACTTATCATTTGGGTTCTATTCTTCTTCTTCTAGGTTGAATATCGATGGGTTAATTTCATGCAGTGAAATTTAGATAATATTTGCAGGTTGATCAATTAGTTTTTATGTTAATTATGTTACTTTTATTTTCAGGTAGACTTAAATCAGGCTATTTCGATGGTTTCATATTATGCTTCATCATCAGAGCCAGCACAGGTTTGTGGAAAAAATGTATATATTCAATATTCAAACAGACATGAAATTGTCAACAACAAGAGTCCCGGAGATACCCCAGGAAATGTTTTGCTAGTTACCATTGAAGGTGTGGAAGCTAATGATGTGACCATTGAGACGATTCACTTGGTAAGTGCTTATTACTGGCATGCATTTCTCAACTAAATGCCTTCAATTGTTACATATTCTCTATTCTATTTCTGCTATAAGAATTGGCTCTCTAGAATTTTTAAAGCCTCTTTTTGCTTCAGGTGCTCTAGATTAAGGAGCATATTTGTATGACTAAATGGAGACATCTTGAATTTCTATGTCTAGACTCTAGAAGTGGCCTAATTTAGTTCGTCAAAATCTTGTGAACTGTCATGTATAAAGTATCACTTCTATTTTCGTGTGTTATTTCTTCTACGACTGATGAGAGATGCTTAATTTTCTTAAATCCTGTATTTTAAGGAATATGCTTTTTAATAGGAGAGCACAAGACCGTTTCTTATAGATTTGAAATGAGTTAAACTGTTACCTTTGTTGGAGATGGCAGTTTTTTTATCGAAATCAGTTGAATCACAGATGGTTATGCCCCTTGTTTATATTCCTTTGTTGGAGACAGTTTGGAAATATTATCATGTACGTCATACTCCTTTCTAAGGTCTATCTTGAGCCATGTATGCACAGGTGTCATTCTGCACTTATTTCTTGTCCATTTGGATTTGTTAACAAAGACTTTTACATTATACCCATCTTTGTGACGGTTTCTAATGTTCTTTTCTTATTTGTATTTGTGATATGTATCTGTTTCTGATTTAATTTTGTTCCAGGTATTTTCTGCATTTGGTTTTGTTCACAAAATTGCTACATTTGAAAAGGCTGCGGGATTCCAGGTGAGATGGCAAAAGTGCATTTAGATTTTTGGATCTGTGGTGATTTCATTTTTTTCAATATGATCATATTTATTACAATTGTTGGCAGGCATTAATCCAATTCACTGATGCTGAAACTGCTTTTTAGCGAGGAATGCCTTGGATGGTAGAAGTATTCCCAGGCATGTACTTCTTCCTTGCAACTTCTTCCTCCTTCCACACCAGCACATTCATTTTCTCATTTCTCTAGCGTCATCTAATTCTCTTCATATTGATTATAAATGTATGGTTTGAGAATTGTTGGTCTAACTGCTACCGTCTTTCTTTGTTTATATATTTGTTCATTTTGAAATAGAAATAATTCATTTAATTTAAATGTTTCTACCTACGTTATTTTTCTTCTGTTGTGGGAGGATTGACATCTTCATTAAACCATCCTATTACCTCAGCTCATAATAATTCTCCGCTATCTTATAAAAAAATAGACGACAATGGCTGAAAACAACCGCTTTCATTTGTTTAGTTCTTCAACGATTGAAATGTTTGGAGTTGTCTGATACTGAAGTTGGAAGCAATGGCCTTCACCATCTTTCTGGTTAGATATCCTCCTTTCTCATAGTATGACATTCTCTATATTTTGCAGTTGTTATTTTCTGTTTCTAGTTTTGGTGGTAAAGTGCTTCTTTAACTCTTTTGTTGCATATAATTATTTTTCTTGATTTGATTCTCTGTTATCGCTACCTTGATTTGCTATCCTTCTTTGGAAGCCTTCTCAAAACTTAGATGATTCTACATGGAAATTTTTTTAAAACAATTGAAGGCACCTATGTTAGACATATACCTGGATCTGGCATTCTCATATGAGTCAGCATAACAACATTGTTCATTTAGTAGTCTGAGGAGCTTTAATCATTGAATAAGCATATAAAACTAATATCTTCCCAAACAATTGATTCTTATATATGATCATCCGATTTCTTTTGGTTCACTTGTAGGTTTGGTTAATCTGGAGAGTATAAACCTGTCATTTACTGGAGTTACAGATGGTGGTTTAAGAAAATTGTCTGGACTCTCGTCTCTAAAATCACTCAACCTGGATTCTCGTCAAATCATAGATGTCGGACTTGCAGCTCTTACCAGTATGACTGTTCGGAGTGCCTATTTCAGTTCTTTGAATTGTTCTTTTAGTTCTTTAACATGATTCATTGTGAAATAATAAGTTGTCACTTATTATATTGGTGATTTGATTTTATTGTTGTCAAAGATAATAAATTAGTTCTGATTAGTTCTTAGTTTATTGTTGAGAAAGAGATTAATGGAACACAATTATTTTTAGTAATTATGCTTATAAATATGTTTTTTTATTATTATAATAGCGATCATACCAATCAAAGTAAATATTTTAGGTTATATAATAAGGATAATTCACAGCTTGAGAAAGAAAAACTAAATTATTAGCTTTAAATAATTTTTAAGTAAAATAATATTTTTAACTAATCAAACAGGGTCTTTAGGTTATATAATAACAATTAAAATAATTAATTAATTGCATTTTTTCAAATAAAAATTTAATTGATTCATAAATTTTCAAATATGAAATATTTTTGTTTAATACTGACTTATAATTAGATGTAACGTGAAACAATAAATTTAAACAATTGTACTCGGTAATAATGTGCCAAAATTAAGATTAATGAATTTGAAAGTATTTCATTTGAAAGACAATTTCTATCATCTTTTGGTAGACTTCCAAAAATAAAGCCTTTGTCTTTTGAATACTTTGAACAGACCTACACATATAGTTAAATGTTGATGTAAAATTTTAATATATTTTTACATAAATTATATAAATTTAATATTAATTAAAATTAAAATAATACATGATATATTTAAATATTCAAGTAATATATTATCAACAGATAAATTTTTTATATAAATAATTTTTATTTAAATATTTAGAATTTCACTTGTTAAAAAATATAGAACAAGGACAATTTGGTAAAATATACATTCCAGTAATCTTTTATTCCTTCAACAAAACACTGTAATCTTACATTCCTGCTAAACCAACCAAACACAGTAATGTAACATTCCCAGTAATCCTATCCACCAGTAATCTTTTATTTCGACCGGTAATCTTTCATTGTGTGAACCAAACGCACACTAATAGTTTTGGCTTGATGGAAAGCCTCCTTTGGCTATGTTGCTTTGATTCTTCATTTTTCTTGAATTTTTTATATCCGAGTAACATGGTCTTTTAGCACTCTAAGATGCATGTATCATGTATGTACTCCAGCTGCAGTGGATGGAGTTATTTCTGTTATACTCAAATTTGTAATCCTTTTGTGTTCTAGGTGAATTACTATGTACAGTCGCACATTCAAATGAATGAATATAGAGATCGCGTAGTACTGGTGAGTACAGACTATGTCAACGGGATATTCCTCACTTTACACGCGCACTTACTTTTGATATGGTCTAACATGTTGCTTCTATTACAGCCTGCTGCCACAGAGAAGTATGGACGACATATTGGCACATGTCTGAAGGTTTTGGATACGACTGGCTTGAAGCTTTCGGCATTGAACCAAATAAAGGTGTGTTTATCACTGAACATTTTCACTGACCATCTGATTTCAACATTGTCTCCTTAATCGACAACTTAACTGCTCATCTGATTTCAATGTAGCAGTTTGACTGTTGTGAAGTGATTTATCTATTCCTGTTTAAATAAAGCCTAAATTTTGCTCCTAAGAACTTAAGACCCTTTTCCAGTCGTCGTTATCCCGTTGTTATATATCTATTGTTTTTTCTAATGCTGGTTGGTCTCACTGGTTGCATGCTGATGCATCTACCGACTACTATATCGACAATTGATGACTTGAATTATCCGGAGAAGACGGAGACATATTATATTGTCAATGCGCCATACATATTTTCAGCATGTTGGAAGGTTTTTTTTTTATTTTCTTGACATTTCCGTTGTTATCTTAGCTAACTTGTATGAAAATATATTTCTAATGCTTTTCTACGAATGGCAGGCTGTTAAACCTCTCTTGCAAGAAAGGACGAAGAGGAAAATTCAGGTGCTTCAAGGTTGTGGACGGGATGAGTTACTCAAAGTAAGGGAAAAAACATCCATGCATGTTCGTAAAACTCTCTTGAAAGCAATTTTTTGTTTTTCGAATAGCAGCAATACTATACACATTCCTTTTTTTGATTTTTGGTACAAAGGAAACTTCAGCCCAGGAATAGGAAAAGGGGCTGCAGATGTTGGGATTTGAATCCCAAACCGGCCGAATACCACCTCTTATTGATGGTTGTATGAACTAACCGCGCTAGGTTTCGGGTTTTCTTGTGTGCTTTCCTTGCACTCTTATTGAAATAATTACTTCGACTCAGACCGTCAGACGTCAACTGGTTTCAGATATTAGCTCCCATAATGTGAAGGGTATTGTAGTATGTCTCTTTAGTTTGAAGTCAACCATATTTGATAGTTAGTACTTTCGATTATACAAAAATTAATTTGAAATCACCTTACTTTCCCCATCCCAACTAAACTTCATTTCATGATTTTGTGTACTGTTTCATTATGATGTACAAGGTTGCTTCATTGAATTAGTTCTCGCGGCGGTTCCTCTTGTGATTTTGTTTTCTTACTACTTTTTGACACATTCATTCCAACTATGCAGGTAATGGATTATTCATCCCTTCCACATTTTTGTCGCAAGGAAGGTTCCGGGTCATCACGAAACAGCAGCAGCAACGGAACCATAGATAATTGCTTCTCATTGGACCACACCTATCATCGACAGCTTTACGATTACATAAAGCAAGAAGCTACACTTATAGAGACTGGTAGGCCAATCAAACAGGGATCAGTTCATGTAGATTTTCCCGAGCTGGATCCAAAAGATGCCAAGATCGCAGAAACCATCGAATCTGAGTTCCAGAAGCTTGCAGACCAAAATGGTAAATGCAACTCCCTAAATGGCGTCAAAGTAAATGGTGATTAGATCTTTTACATACTACTGATTACATAAATTGTTGCCAATGTGTTACTGGAAAGTCGGCACTTTGACAGGAAAATGCTAATCAACGACATCAGAATGAGAGGCCTTGTGGTATTTCAATTATCTTATGTAATAGCAGAGCTTTCTTGCATCTTATCGAATCAGATGTGGGTGTGGCATACTAATCTGGTGTATCTTGATATGCCACCTTAGGGTGGATAATAATAGCACATGAAAATTATCTGTAGGAAACATGGCGTTTACGTCATAATTGTTTCTGGAATAATTTTCTTGTTAGCGCCCTCTTCCATATTTTTCTGAAACATGCTTTAATGGGAAAATTAAATTAGTAATATTAAAACATACACTTTGACAATTTGTGTATTCATTTAATATTTGTGTTATTTCCATGAAGTTAAAAAATTAATTAAAATTTATTAAGTGATATCAGAAGGGGGGACAATTGAGTGAGAAAAAAAAAATTCAAAGCGAAAATAAAACCCTTTCCGTGTCTTTAAATAAACAAATCATTAATTTTAATTTATAATGTTAAAGTTCGTAAATAATTATTTTGATTCTTATTATATAATAAAATACTTGTAATTAAATAAGAACCGTTAGAGAAACATCATTAGTCCAATACTTGGCTTTAGATAATTAAGAGAAGTAGTGAATATATGAAATATTTATGGGAAATTAGATGCAAATGTCAAATGTGGGATGCCAATGAAAAGCATTACAATATTGTTAAATTTTAGTAGAAGATACAGTAAGATTCTCTCTTTATAATAATATAATCATTATTTTGTCAAATATATTCTTCCTCTCTTCTGAAATAGAGGAGTAAGAGATGCAGATTTACCCATATATAAAAGCCAATCGGAGAAAGGTATGATAGTGTGAGACAAACCGTTTTGAAAGAAAGAAAAAAAAGGGGATGGGTACAAAAATATAAATTATTAGAAAGTGAAGTACACTGAGCATATTCCAAGCTAATGTTGCTAGATTCTGTCTGCCATGCCAACCTCAGTACATTTTGCTAACATTGGGAGTCTAAACAATAGCTACCCATTTATTGCAGGAATGTGTTCAAGGATTACCCAATTTCTAACTACACCCTGTGTTGGGTTTGTTTGCATTTCTTACCCATAAATTTATGCTTCGGCCAATTTATTTAGGGCCAATAGTGGACCAGTTTTAAGCTAATTTTGTTTTGGTTTTGGGTATCATAATATATATTATAGAATTTCTTGGTTTTAGGTTCAATTGTTTTCTTTTTTAAATTATTGTTTGAAAAAGTTGTTTTTTTAAAAGATTTAGATTTAAACCGTTGTATTAGTAAGGTGTGAGTACTTTATTAATAATAAAAAATTTTCAATATATACTATTTTATAATAATCACATACTGATAAAAAATATTATTATTATTTTTTGTCTAATTAAGAGTATCTAATTGATTCGATTAAAAAATTATTATTATTTTTGTCTAATTAAGAGTATATATTTATTCATCGTACTGAATCAATTTGTTGTTGCTTCTTTAATTGCATAACAAGTGTCTTTTCCGCGAAAAGTGTTGGGAATACTCTTAGATGGTGGTTGAGATACGTACTTGCAACGTAAGCTATAGAAGGCCTATACTGTCGGGTTTCTGTCTAATTTCATGCCTTTGCCCCAGCAATTTAACTCCAACAACTTGAAAACGTCTCGTTTTCCGCGTTTGCACAGTTCGTTTTCCCCACTATAAATAACGACATTCTGCATATCAAGAATCGCAAGCCCTACAAAAGACGATGAAGAATGCACGTGTTGAGCAAATGAAAGAAATGAGAGAGGAACAAAATTGAATAAGAAAGGCAGGAGGAGTTGGAATTTTCCACACTTTATAATTCAATGCCTTCAAACTCTGGGTTTGCCCTTTCATTTTTGTTCCTCACTTATTTCTTCCATTTTCTTCTCTCTTATAGCCGTCTTTACTTAACTCTTTTGTTGTTCATCACTTTTGTTGATTTCTTAAGCAAGAATCTTGATATTATGAATTGAAAAAAATTAAATTGGGAGGATCGCTATCATAATAAACCTTCACAATACTCGATCTTATAACCTTAACATATGTTTTGTATAAGCATTGTGGTAAAAAATTCTTTTAATGTTGGTTATTTTCTTCAATTACACTCTTAAAATATTTTAATATTTAATTTTTTTGGAGTACTTTAATATTTTAAATTTACTTTTTAAAAAATAAACTCATTTTAGACAATTAACTATCATGTAATTAGTCATCAATATTTCTGTTAATATAATACGATAATATTAAGGGTACAATTGAAAACAAATCAAACATTGATATATTTTTACTATTATAGTTTTTTCACTTTTATTTATAATTTTATAAAAAAAAATAAAACAATTACAATCCACCTACATCTAGGATAAAACTTTTAATTTTTCATCCTTTTAGGGTCATTGAATATTTGAAAATAGACAATTGAGATTATTTTCTTATTTTTTCCTTGTGAATATATTCTCATTTCTTACTTTTACCACACTACACACGATCATTCATTGAATAATTTTTACAAATATATTTTCATATAAAATATTTTTTACCATATCATAATTGCCATAAAATTTAGTGTTTATTAATTTAAAATTACGTGTAACACATTACATGCTATACAACCAACTATAAGCTCCATAATATCTTATTATATTTAAAAATAAAAATATTTATTATCGTGATAAATTTATTTAAGAGAATAGTATAATCTGATTCATAATTTATTATTTATAATCTTATACTTCTTTCAGTTCAATTTTTGATTTACTTACATATTTATATTTCATTATCATTAAAATAATATTAATTTATACAAACAAATAATATTATAAAATAATCTCAGACATTTTAAAAAATTATAAATGGGTTATATTTTTTGTATCTCTCAAAAGTAATACATGACTATTGTTCCTCTGTCTGCCTGTCGAGCATTGAGATCTTCAAAGTTACTCTAAAGTTTTATATCCTCTAAAGATCTATATTTTTCAGAGTTCTCTGAAGTTTTCAGAATTTTACATCTTTCAGATAATTAACAATCCCCTAACATGGTCATTGCCAAACTTACATGATCAATCAAAATCAATTCTACTACCTGATAACTAGATCTGTAAGACTCCACTATATATTTCTCTCTTTTTAAAACCATTCATAATCATACAACAGATCTATGAATATTTTTAAGAGTGGATATATATATATATATATATATATATTATAAAACTTTTGTATAGAATAACACAAATAAATTTTTAAATTGAATACAATCAATAAATAATTAATTAAATAATCGAATTTCACACTAGGCACGTGTATATCCTCACCCAAATTAAAAGAAAAATCAACCCTTCTACCCTCTTTTATCTTCCTATTTCATTATTAATTATAACTCTTCCACCCAAATTAAAAGAAAAAAATCACTAAAAACTGCCTCAACATAAATAAAGAGTGAAATAGAAATAATAAAACAAAACATTAATATATGATCGTTTTTGCAATTTTTCACTAACAATAAGCTTAAATAATTTATCAACAACAATAATAATAGGGAAAAGCAAGTACAAGAATTGAAACATATTTTAAAAAAAGAATTGGTCTTTACTCAATTATGTGTGTTAGTTGAGAACCTGAGATTCCTAGAATCGAGCCGCGTCACGAAATTTCTCCTACAACCCTCTTCTTATATTTTTCTAAACCGTGTAAAATCCGTGTCGAAAATCTTATATAAACCCTACATGCCATGTAACTCGAAACTAGACAACAAAAAGTTCATGTGAAGAACATCAAATGGAGTGCATAGTAGTGCAGGCTAAAAGAAGAAGAGAAATGACCCGAGAAAGAAAACTTGATGGACGAGAAAATGAATGAAAAGGAAAAGGTGAGTATCAGAGAAGCGCAAAGGCAAACGTTAGAGAAAACTTTGAAGACAATGAATATGAATCTGAACAATTCCAGCAGGTTTTTACCATATACTGTGAATATGGTAGATATTTGGTGGAATTGTTTATATTTCATATTCATTGGCTTCAATGTTTCGCTAACTTGTCTTTGCCCTTCTTTGATGCTTTCTTTTCTCTATCTTCTTCTTGATTTGCCCGCAAGATTATGCGTTTCATTTGGTCTGTTCTTCCCTAATTTACTCCATTTGGAAGTCGAAGATAACCATATTGTTCTTTTTTTTCTCCTGGTTTTCATGAAAGATACAATGTGTTGCAGATTTCAATGGAGATGTTAGAGTCCATTCTTGACTTGTCTTTGATGTTCGTTGAACTTGAAGAGATGAAAAATATTGTATTTTTTTCTCTGGAGAATATTCAAAGCTCTAATGGTGTAAGAGAGAGAATACCTTTTTTTTTTACTTTCTTTTTGGCTTCAAAGCCTAAGGATGACTTATGATCCAGCTTTGATTTGTTAATTTCTGTTGTTGGAAATCACTTTATTTTCAATATATTATATTTATCTTATATTTTTCAAGCCTATAGATATATAAGATTATATTTATATTTAAACTTGCATTGCATTTCATGGTAACATTTAAAAACCAACAACGAATATCAACTGCAGACATATCAAATCCAGGGGGCCACTGCCCATGTGCTATATATATTTAATTTTTATTTATTTCCTGGTAAATAATTGAACCTCTCATGGTTTACCAATATGATCAACCCGTTCACTTTTCCACACCGCGTGAATTATATATATAAAATTTATATTTTACCATTTCCATTCCTTTTTAATATAAAAATTACTTTGTAATTCAACCTTCTGAGTGTATGAGCAGCTGTGTTTTTATTTTATTGCAGTGTATCCATGCTCTGTGTTATCGTGTTTATGTTTCTGGTTTTGTTTTGCAGAGTGTTGTGTTCCTCGATCCTCGTGTGAGTAAACTATGCATCAGTATTCATGGTAATTAATTATTATAATATTTGAGGATCCATATCAAACACCCACACCTTTCCTATTTTTATCATGTCGCTGTTTAAGAGCATGGAAGGAGGTAGGCCACAATGGCGGCTACAATAATAAGTACAAAAGTTAATGGTTTGTTAACAGTTCTTCCCTTTAAAATTTAATCTTTTTTATTTAATTCTTCATACATTTTTTTTATTTCCCTTTCTTTAATTA